AAAAAATAATAACTATAATGCTATAATATAATAATATAGTAAATAATATAATAATAGAATATTTTCTATACTATGCTATACTAGTATTACTCTGTGTTACAACCTACTTTGTAACAGTATCAAGCCTATAGGTATCCACAGGTACTCATAAGTTTTAAAGGCCAGGCTAGGATATCAATTTTGAGGTCTTAGGATAAGAGTAAGGGCTTGAAGATTAAGCCTATTAGTAAATGGATAAGACTAGGATATTCCTACTACCCAGCCCTACCTAGTCTAGACAGAGGCCTAATTTATCTCTACAATATATTCTAACTTTTAGTAAACTTCAAATTTTATATATCCAAATACAACATCTTCTTAGCCAAATTAAAAATCTTGATAGTCTACAAATTCATGCTTTTACCTTCAAACTATTATTGTTTTTTACAATTACTAGCTTTGTTCTAGCTAATATTATTAACACTATATAAAACTATATCTTTTTTAACAACTTTATCTATTCTTTTACTATTCAATTTCTTCATTTTAATTAACAAATCTATACAAATATCAGGATTCCTTACTGCACTTCAATATCACAATCTAATTTTGCTTCAAGCAACTATAGCAATATTACTCTTGTCAATTCTACTACATATATCTTTCTCAAGCTTAGTTTTTCTTTCTAAAAACTCTTCTAATTTACTTATACTTAATTTATTTAACAAATTAGAAATTTGGTATTCTAACTGGATTAAATTCTTTTTATACCCTTCTCTTATTCTTACTTACCCTCAATCTAGGTGAGCCTTAGCTACTTTGATAGACTTAGGCTGCAGATAAGTATTTAGGTTTACTTAGATATATGTCTAAGTTCTTTTTCTTAATTTTAGATTTAAAATATAAAACCTTTTTCAATTATGTAAGAAGTTTTTGTTAAATCTAATAAAGATAAGAGCATGATCTCATTTTTAACATTAAAAATAAAATAAAATAAAATAATTCCTTTTAAAACCAAAAAAATAAATAAACTAGATAATGCGTAGCATTGTGTATCTATATAGAGCTATCTTGTAAATGATCATCATGTATTTAACCAACTAGCATTATGGAAGCAAACAGACAAACTTTTCACATGATCTAAATGATCACCAGCTATCATAAAAACATAGTTCACCGCTTCACTCCAGACAATAATTACAGTATCTTTAAAAAATAAATAAATTAAATTAATCCAATTATGTGCAAAATAAATTAACCAATTATATGCTGTATCACTTATTAAAAAAATATATATCTAAGTGATGAGCATCAGTTTCGTGTAACATCGCGTATATCAAAATTTTGCCAAACAGGTACTAGTGCTAGAACAAAAACCTTGATACGTATATATACCGTATATATATATATATATATACGAATTTATACAAATTGACAAGAAATACTAGTTATATAAAAATTAGTTGTAAAAAAAAATATATACGTAGCAATTCTACAGATTATAATATATATATATATATATATATAATAAATTACCTGCTACGTACGTACGTACTGTACGTGCTTGTTAGGATAAAACGAAACAGTCATATACTATTAAATATAAAAAAATCTATTAATAGAAAAGTTTCAAAGTTTATTATTTTTGTACATACGTAAACAAATCATCATTATGTACGTAATACTGAATTTAGTTACGTTACTAATAATCCATATATAGAGTGTGACAATATAGAATTTTAAAAAAATAGATATATTATATCGATATATATATATAATTTATATATAGAAAGAAGTTGAGTATGGCATCACCTTTTAAAATAAACAAAATTTAGCATTTTCAAATTGTACAACAGTTTGGTCTAAATAAGGACAGAAAAGTATTGGGATAGAAATTAAACGTCGAAAATAAGAACGAGGGATTCAAAACGTACATTATGAAAAAGGCTAAAAATGATACACAAAAAATAAAAAATAAAATAAAAAATAAATGACGAATAAATATTCTGAATAAAGGATAGGTACATATTATCATGAAAAGAATATTTGAATAATTGTTATGCATTAAATACTGTAGAGAAATATAGCTCGGGAAGTTATGCCTCGTCGTAAGTATCAAAATAGAATAATATATGCGCAGACGATGATAATGAGAACAAGTCATAACAGATAACCCTTGAAAGTACTTCAACGTACGTACGTACTTACCTACTTACCAGTTACGTACCTACCTACCTAAATTAGAACAAGCATTTAAACAATTTAATTATAATCTTTTAGTACTAGAAATTTGAATCATCTAAAGGTTTATTTCAATGTTCACACGTTGCCAAAATAGGATCATTCAGTTCAAAAAAGATGAACCCGTAGAACTTAACTGTAGAACGCATATATTTTTAATCCCGTGATAAACGATTAGCAGTGCATTTTAAGCTATATATTTCTGTATTTATTAAAAGCATTAAATAAATAGTTCTCACAATTTGGTAATAACATACCGGGAGTACTTGGGCTTGGAACAAGATTAGGATTTAGGTACTTTGTATTTAGAACCTCATCACTCTGTACCATATCATTTACCCAAACATCAGGTAGGCCCTGGAAATATAAAAATGGGCATACATCAATTACAATATTTCAATGCGCATAAACAAGAATTGAAGGCTTAGAAATAATTGGGATTAATTAAAACTTGAATGATTCATTCATCCAAGTATAGAAAAACCCATTATGTAGAGCTTACCAAATATTTGCCACTTTCGTTATTATACTCTACATGGATTCCATGTTCAAAACCTGTAGGTTTACCAATCTCAACAATCCTGTCGACCTTGATTTTCTTTTTACTGAGACTTGAAGTAGAGGAATTGCTATGGGTGTAAAGGCCAGCGAATGATGGTTGAACATCGTTTCTTGAGCCAGATCGCTCACGTACAGGTGATTTACACTTTTGACTATCACTATCCCTCCTTTCGCTGGATTGCAGCGCACCTCCGCTCGTCGAAACCTGGGAACCCAGTTTGATGAATTTTCCTTTAATATAATCCAGTATTAGCAACTATAGACAGACTAAAAGAGAAATTCTATCAAGCGATGGGTGACCAGAGTACTATATA